AAAGGAACCTTAAGATCTGATAACGGCAACGCCAGCGAAAACGCCAATGAGAAATTGAATTCGGGTCCTAATTCAAACTATTTCTCATCCAAATTGCCCCAAATAAAGTTGGAGACGGCGTCGGAGGTCAGACAGGCACAATAAAATTTATCGCCTTTCTCAAGAGAACTTAATAAGATTTGATCATTTCGCGTCGTCTTTTTGCATAAACGGTGAACATATAACAACAACAACAACAACAACAACATGTTTATTCAGTATTACCATTTTGTACAGGTGTTACCGATTAAAATAACAATAATAGAGTGTTTTCACTCACGTGGTCTGCATCTATGCAAATTTATTGGAACAAAAGAAAGCGTTTGCATAAGAAAGGAGTTCAACTCCCACAGGAATGGTTTGGGACACCAACATGGCCGCCGTTTCATTGTTTTGGGACACCAATATGGCCGCCGTGACGTCATGTGAAAACACTCTATAAACAGCTAAGTTTAAGGAAGTGCAGATATGATGGAACGAGACTGGAACGGTAGAATTAACTATGTTTCTTTCGTCTTTCAATTGCTTGAAAGATGAAATTAGCAGCTAGCCTGCTGATATGTGAATCAGTATTGTTAAAAAGAAAACAGACTTTATCATGGATATTCTAATTGGTAAATAATGTATTTCGGTCGTTGATTTTAATAAAAAGAGTCTTTCTGAAGTCATTGTATTGATCACAGTGAAATAATATGTGCAGTTCATTTTCAACCGAATTCTGGTTGCAATGATCACAGATTCTGAGGTCTTCAGGAGTTTTGGGGATTGTAAATCTTCCAGTTTCTATTTTTAAATTATGATTTCCTATCCTAAATTTGGAAGCTACACGCCTATGTTCAGGATTCCGGATATGACTCATGAATTCAGAGTGATTTGTTTCATTTTTAAAGATGGAGTAGAATCTTAGTTTTTTATTTGTTCGTATCAAAATTAGCTGGTGGTTTTTCAGATGTTTTGACAAGTTATTCTCAGCTTTGGATAGGAAAGTAGAAGACTGAAAGCGCAATGCACTTGCAAAGCTGTTGCTTTACTTATTAAACTTGCTGCTTTTTTTACCTTCTCTTTGCCGTAATATAAAGAGATTCAGGGGGAGCATGATTACAGGATAGTTTTCAAGTTATTTTTCATAGAAATTGAATTAGAATTAAATTAAATTAAAGTAATGTTTCCCCGTTAGATCACTGTTCCTCTTCCGTTTCCGGTTCCGGTTTCTGTTCCCATTCCCGTTCGTATTCTGGATTCCGGTTTCCTGCTTTTCCAGACGCCCGTTGCATGAAAACAAGAAGTGTTCTAGAACATTCAAACCAACAGCTTATAATAAAAAGAATTCACCTATTAAACCTATCCCAATCGATCCACGCACTGCACCGAGACTATAAATAACTGATAATCGTTTTTAAAATTATGGTCGACACGAACATTCAGGCCACAAGATAAAACAAACATTATGATGAGAAGATGGAATCATAATGTCATTGTATTTCGAGGCATTTCCCGTTTCTTATCAGCAGTGTGCAGGTGGTGGTTCCCGGGCCAATCTGGAGATCGAACATGTTTAGTGCTGTATAAAAGACTTGTGTTTTTATGTTTTGCGCGGCCTTTCCGACTATTACGATCAGCCTGTAGTGACATTCCTTTGACGCTTAGTTGAAAGTTTTCAGGCAAGTTTCTTTTTATTTTTAATCCTTCTTCCTTAAGAGAGTTATGGCTACACAAACGGTTACCCCAACACCTCGTGTTTTAATCTTGGGACACTCTTTTATTCGACGCCTGCAGAAGTTCATGGAACATCATATCGGTTACCTTGATTTATCCCTACAAATTACGGCTACCGCCGATAAAGCTTGGCATGGCATTGGTGGGCGTACAGTAGCAAAAACGGTCAAATTTAATCTGCACGTAGCTCGATCTACACGTCCCGACATAGTTATCGTGCAATTTGGTACTAATGATCTACCATTTTAGTCTCCTCTACAAGTTGGGTCAAAGGAAATTATTAATTGGAAAGTCGCTTATCAAACATCCTTTCAATGCACAAAGAGCAGTAAACGTATCACTTTCAACTTCAAATTGTTACATCGCCGGTTACGGACTAACAGTTTCTTAAAAAAAGTTGGACTTAGAGACGATGATAAGTGTTCTTTTTGTAATAAAGAAAAGGAAATATTGATACACTTATTTTGGAGATGCGAAAAAACAAAAAAATTTTGGGATAATCTTTTTAGGTGGATGCAGTCTTGCCAACTTTCTTTAGGTGAACATAATTACTTACACATAAATACGGCTTTGGGTCTGAGGCCAGATAGATCTAAACACAAACTCCAAATCAATTTTTGTTGCTTAATTGCCAAGCACTATATCTGGCTTTGTCGCTCAAAGGAACATTCCCCCAATTTAAACAATTTTTTGCTTTATTTGAAACACATTTATCAAATAGAAAACAATGCCTCCACTGTCAAAA